TAAAAAAATCATTATCAATAGAATTACTACATGAAATAGCCAAACGTATGACTGAAATAATGCATCGTGGTATAGCTGTACATGTTCTACGTGGACGACCATTACAATGTGAAAGTAATTTATTAAAAATAATTTTAAAAAATTTCAACAAATGGCACAAACCACCATGTATAATAACTGTTATTGGAGAACAATCTTCAGCAAAATCATCTTTATTAAATACAACATTTGGTTGTAATTTTCGTGTTAGTTCTGGTCGATGTACAATGGGTATATATATGAGTATAATTAAATGGAAATCCTTACCAATTGTTTTACTTGATACAGAAGGTTTGATGTCCGTTGAAGAATCAAGTTCTCTATTTGATAATCAAATGGTTTCAATGGCTATGTTATCTTCTCATATTGTATTAATTAATCATAAAGGTGAATTGAGTACAGAATTACAAAATTTAATTGGTATGAGTTTCTATGCAAAATTACAACTTAAAGATGCACCATTAAAAACAAAATTATTATTTATTCTTCGTGATCAAACTGATTTATCTAACAAGAAGATATTTTTTGCACAATTAGCACAATTAAAACAAAATTTAAATAACGATTCACAATTTTTACAAATCTCAATTGAAGATGAACTTAATATATCAAATGATGATGTTGTACCATTGTCGAATGCTTTCTCGAATGATATTAATCCAATATTTGGTGAAGTACAAAAATGGAGAAATAAATCATTTCCAGTTCAAATTCAAGAATTGCGTAAGATTATATTTAGATATCTTTCTACTAATGCTAACTTATCTGTATACGAAGACTTCGATCAAGTCTATACTAAATTAACAAATTATTGGATAACTATTGATAAATTAGGACCTGTATTACTTGCATCGAAAAATTTATTAGAACTTGCTATGATGAATGAAGTACGAGATATTACAAGAGAAATAATACAAAAAGCAAATAATCAAATGTATGATAGTGGACAAGTGTTAATAAAACAAACTATAGCCGATATAAAAAATAATGTTCAATTGATATCAGCAACAGGTGGTTATTCAAATGCAAATGATGATTTTAACATAATTTTAAATCGACAATTTCAACAAATTCTTGAACAAGCTTATAAAGAATTTGATTTTAAAACAAATAAATCATACTACTTACCACATATTAAAGAAAAAATAAAGAGTATAATCGAACCACGATTAAAATTTACTTGTCAATCGACACGACAACAATTTGAAGATAATCTACATCTTGTATCACAAGCTGCATTAGTCAAACATGCACAACAAAAATTAATCGATCGTGCTCAAGAAGGTTTCGATCAAAATAAATCAATAGGCATAGATGAATTTCGAATGAACCTTGAAAATGATTATCATCATTTACTAAAAGAATGTCGACAACAATTGGCCGTTTTACATGAAAACGAAGATAATATTACTAAAAAAATATTAAAATTTTATAATAATTTACATGATAGAAAGGCAGCTAATCCAACAATTGGTGATATCTATAATCTTTTACCTAAATTAGATATTGAACAATATAGACGATATTGCGAAAAATTTGAACAAAGTTGGAAACAAATAAATCAATTTTTAGATATATCACGTAATAATTTATTTTCTTCATCATGGCAAACTGATTTGGATAGAATTTGGATTGACTTGAAAGATAAGTTAAAATGGTTTAATAATGAAAAATCGAAAGAAAAAAATCGTACTATACTATCAAGTATTTTCAATATAGTGTTACCTAAATTAAAAAAAGATATTATAAAATTAATCAGAGAGATAAAACTTTCATATAATGATCCAGAAATAGTCAATGCTGTTATTTCATATGTTGAAAATTCCTTAAGCATGAAAGAAATTAAAGACTTTGAAAAAGATTTAAATCTTGCAGAACTTGTTACTGATTTTGTTATTATATCATTAAAAATATTAATTTCTGAAATAACATTAATATCTGAGAATAATTATCAAAAAGAATTGACAGAGTCTGAAAATCAATTACGTCAGTGGAAAATCAATATTGAAAAACAATTTGAATCAATGAAAGATTCATTTGAACAAGGACAATATGAAGCTGAAGAAATAGGAGAACAAATTTTTGCTGAAGTTAAACGTTTATTATTAAATCAAGTCCTTCGTGATGTTAAATCCGATGTTATGAAAAATAAATTTATCATACATGATCATATGCGTAAAAATGCATATCAACAAAGTTTTCAACAAAATAATGGTGAAAATATATTAAAATATGTTCTTGATATTAATCGATATCTACTAGAATTAAGTTTAGAAGAAGTATTAGGTACATTTCGTAATGTTGTCAATATGCATACGAATTATTTAGATGATTTACTTTCAACAATTTTTGTTACAATCAATAATACTATTCAAAATTATGCTTATAATGACATAAATAGTATATATAATGCAATAGAAAATGCTATATCAGAAATAAATCTTCTTAAGAAAATGAAACACGAAGAAAATTATTTGGAGTTTAAACTCGAACCTAAAATGAATTTACCAATAACAGAGCCGAAACAATTTCAACTTGGTTTTAAACATATATTGACTGTGTTTGCTAATCAGAGCAAATATGAAAAAGAAGCTACATCAAATTTATTAAGAAATACAGCGTTTGACGACTGCAAATCGATCATTAGACGTCGTCTTGGTTGCGAACATACATGTCCAGGATGTGGAGTGAAATGCAGTAAACCAAGTCTTCATTCAGCAGAACAAGTAAAAGTACTACCAGAAGACTGCAAATGTCAAACAGATGAGTGTATTTGCCCTGAAGTGACATATGTTGATTGTGTTAGTCATGAGAATGATTATCATATTCCGACAGCATTCTATGGCGAACGCTATCATAAATCACATAAACCATATTTACATTCTTGTTATCAACAATGGACAACTGTCGGTATTCATACTGGTGACGGTGAGATAATTCATCCAAAACGATTATATTATAATAAAAAACATTTGCAATGGTATAAAAATCTTGATAATTTGGCAAAAACCGCTCCCGATAGAGACGATCCTTGTCCAGCTGAAGAACAACGACGCGCATGGATGACCGTAAGACATTATTTAACGGCTAAACATAAGATGAATGATTACACAGATGAAGAATATGATGAAATGCTATATCCTAAAGAATTTAATATAATACCTACCAATTTTCAAATAACATGGAAAGACGAAAATATTGACGTTACTCATATACCAAATGACGATTTTTCCAATTTTATATTTTAACCATCATGAAAGAACAAAAAATAAGAAGATTCTTTATTAAAACTCTTTCTGAAGGACTTTCATGTAGATGAACAGTGTGGATAATTGTGGGTGTAGGTATGAGTCAGAAAATACAATACCCACCCACCCACACCCTGAAAATCTGATTCTAATGTATTGAAATTTAAACTTATAAAATTTCAATCTCTATTTAAGAGATCTCATGAGATAACTAAGATTCGAATACTTCGTAGATGAACTTTTGGAAAGTACAAACGAGTCATTTGAAATATAAGGAAAGTGTATGAGACTTGTTGGATATGTTTATTGTAAAAAAAAATGTTAATACAATTCCTTCGGGATTAAAATGTAAAACAGGATCGAACTACGTACATTATAAATGAAAAGTCTGTCAGCGGAATCCGTTGTCAACTAATGTCGAATTCACACATTTATATAGCCATGTCTGTCATGTCTGTGACGGATATGAAGCGTCGGTGAGATGTCTATCACGTCTGTGATATATAATTAATTAATAATTAATATTTACTTAATGTGTGTGGTAGGATGTGGGTATCGGTGGACAGAAGTTTCAAACTCACACACCCACACCCACCCACACCCAGATGTGCTCGTATCAGGAACGAAAAAGAGCTCACATGGAGAGCGACAAGAAGAAAAAAGAACAAATGCTTACATTCCCATGTAATCTTAAAACGTATTTTCGAAGCGGGTAGATGTGTTTTTGTTGCAAACAGCAACATTTGGATACGTCTTCGCAATGAACCATTCTGAAAACATTGCTAAACGCATTCAGAAGATGTCTTGGTATTTCATGAGCATAAATCAAAACAAATGCGTTGGTACGCATTCGTATCGCTTCATACTTTGAATCTTGTGTCATGATTAAAAAATGCATAGTTGTCTCTGAGCGAAAGCGTCTTTTATTCATGAAAATGATAAAACTAACCCACTAAGTACGTCTATTAACTCTATAAATGTGCCAAAACTTGACTTAATAGATAAATATATGTCAAATGTATATATTTGTATCATAATTAGTTTCTATTAATACACCTTTCATAGAGAATATTATGATGTTGATGAACTGTTTATTGCATTGTATTTTTACTTTTAAAATATTCATTGATGCAAAAAAGAAACAACTAATATCGATTATAAAGTAATTATCATAAATTATACCTCTGTTTTTAGTCTCATTCCAGGCACTTTTGAAATCCTATATTACTTGACGCGATTGAATAATTAGTCACGATATATATCTAGTCGGTCTTCTACAAGAATTCAAAGTATTTTGTTAAATTTCTGGATCGATTTCATGAACTTATCTTTCGATTTGTAGAAATTACCAATTCTCACTACTTATTTGGTTATATTAAAGGATTATTTTGCTCAGCTGACCAAATGATTATAAGAAAAATCGAAATAAAAAACAAATCGATTGACTCTATTCATATAAACAATAATAATGAAATAAAAGAGTTCAAAAACCACAACATGATGGTTTTTCAACGTTTTTCCACTTTACAATTAGCAGAAAACGATCTTCATCACAATAAACTTTTTCTAATGAACATAGTCTTTTCTTATAGTTAAGTATTGTTATCTAACACAAGGAATGTTTAGGGTGTGGGCGTGGGTGTGGGTGGGAATACTTTATTGAAATACCCACACCCACACCCAACTGCACCTACAACAACATCATCTTCTACTATGAAACGACACTTATCAGTCGAGAATTTGAGCGAACCAGCTCAAAATTTGAAAAGACTTCGTGAAAATTTAATCCAAAAACACATACCAAATTCAGTACCCGTTGTTGATCCTATTGCAGATGAAATCGAGAAATATTTACAACTTGATGTTAATTGTGATGATGTGCTCCAATTTTGGCGATCATCAGGAGATAATTTTCCTCATTTAAAAGTTCTTGCTCAAATTGTTCTTGCAATTCCAGCTAGATCTACACTAAGTGAACAAGTTTTCTCAACAACGGGTTTAATTCTCAACGCTAAAAGAACAAAGTTGTCGCCAGAGAATGTTGATAGAATACAAACGATCCATGATAATTATAATTTATTTAAACCGACTTAGAATTTTGTTTATTTTTTGTATATTTTTTCTAGTCATGTACTTTTTGATTTTCTATATTTCATGTATTGAATGCCTCAATATTATGTACTTTATTTATTATATCTAGATGTAAAATAAAACTTTTCCCAAATATTTATTTGAAACTAAAACGATTGAATAATGAAATAGATGAATTCTTATTTTTTTTTCTTGATACTATTATATCTTTTCTAAATCTCAAGCCGCCGCCACCGAGCGACCAAAGTCCTTAAGCCGCCGCGCCGTCGGTGGTAGAAAAAGAACAAATTTCAAGCTGCCGCCGCCGTGCAACCTCAGAAATTCAAATCTGCGCCGCCGAGCATTTAAAAAAACAAATTTAAAAACGGCAGCCGCCGCTCGGTCCATCGGCTTACACCTCTACATATGAATACCATGTTTCTCCTTTCAATTAACAATACTTCTATTTAATTTGGCTCTAAAATACAAAAGAAATTTCCGTCTCCGACTATTTCCTATCTTCAGTAATCAATGTCAAATACATTTCATATTTATCTTTGTGTTTTTTTGATAGTTTGTTCTTGTTTTGCAATCAACATGTTTAATGTAGAGCATTGGAACGTCACTATTGAAATGAATTCTTGAGTTGTCATATGATATATAATGACATCCAAGCAAATATATTTCATCTCAGCAGGACGAAATAATGAAATATGATGTTGACAGCAGCTCATTTTATCTTGTAAACGAAATAATAATGATGAACAGAAAAGGTATATATATCACAGCATTATCAGAAAGTCGATGATAAAAAAAAAATAATAAACTTTACACATTGAAACAGAAAATTCAGAAGAAACCGACGATGACCGATCCAGTCGTACAACTTGCCATTCAACTCATGCGAGCTATATTGCCCATAATTATGTTTGTTGGTGTTATTGGAAATTTGCTTAATATTGCTGTTCTTACTAGGCCTGTTCTGTATTATCATGCTTGTTCTCGTTATTTTCTGGCACTTGCATGCAATAATTTTTTCTTTACAAGTGTCATTCTCTTATATCCTCTTCTGGCCAATGGATATCAGGTTGATCCAACAGCATCCTCTCTTATCTTATGCAAACTAATCATATATGTTTACCAAACATGTGGAACATTATCACCATACTTTATTGTACTTGCTTCAATTGATCGATATTGTGCAAGTTCATCAAGTGTTTGTCTACGTAATTTTAGCAATATAAAGTCAACTCGATGGATGATTCTATTCATCATCATTATTATGATGCTCTTCGGTGTGAACATTGCAATTTTGATTGATGTGCGACCAACTGACACATTTGGATGTCGTATTCGAGGTGATACTATCTATAAACAAGTGTATCCAATAATGCAAGTTTTTCTGTATGCTTTTATTGCACCTGGTCTTATGGCTCTATTCGGTATGATGACTATCTATAATACAAAACGAGTCCGTCTTATTACTAATGCAGTCAGAACTCAACGTCGCACCGAAAATCAACTTATTCGCATGCTTATCCTTCAAGTGAGTATTCATATTATACTAAGTGTGCCCAATGGTATCACCTATATAATGTTAATTGTACCAAACACAATAAAAACTACATCGGCATATTACTTGGCCCGTATGATATCTCAACTTCTCATTTATTGTACATATGCTACACCTTTCGTTTTATACTTGCTTTCAGCTGGCATGTATAGAAAAGAACTTGTTCAATTGCTGCAGAGAATATTGCGATTGCATAGGAATAATCAAGTTCAACCAACAACAAACACAAACACTATTCTAGTAATTAACACAAAACAGAGCACAATGGTAGCAACACATTAATGAACAGTATCATTAAGCTTAATTATTAATAGTTCATTCATATTGTATTGTGTTGTATTAGCTGTTGTCTTTGATTTCACAAAATACATATAGTTCAAATATCCTAATTTGTTTTCTTGCAACGTTCATGACTTATTGGAGGCTCGTGAAATGATTGAGAGAAAAATAATTTATCTCCACCAAGACACTTGAACAGTCCATTTATCTTTTTCCATTCTGCTTCATGAATTATAGCAATGCGATGGTTAGCTTTTTGTCGCAGTTCGTAATTGTGGTCGTTTGCTCTTCTATTATGATATTTTTCTCTGAGATAATTTTCATAATAGTGAGAAAGACCACATTGGCCAATGGGCTTTTTTTGTAGTGATCATCTAACATGACTAATTACAAATGAATATCATTTATTGAAACACGTTAGTTCTTTAAAAATAAACGATGGCGCAAAATACTTTGACTAATGACCAAATTTTTTTCTTTAGTTGATTTTGTTCACAATTTTTTGAATTTTTTACTGCTTTTCTGTTGTTCTATTGACTCTCTTAATAAAAATCCTAGCTAAGGCAATATCGAATATAATAATATTGGTGGAAATTGTAGAACTCATCACATTTAACTTCGCGTCCAATGGTTGAATATTATAGTTTCAAGTTATATTATCATATAAGCACTTTTCAACGTTATGTAGAAAAGAATAATAAAAAAAAATTAAATAAATTTTGTCGACCATTAAATACATCGATATTCATCTGTAGAATCTATAATCATAATCAGATCAGTGTTTAATTTCGACTCACGCAAGATTTAAATTAGTTTTGTACAATCGGTCGGTTTTGAAAACCAAATGCTTCATCAGTCAGCGTTACATTATGCTCTCAATAATCATTTCACTTGACGCTTAAACAATTCACGTATCTTACATCGAAATACATGTCATCAACATCATTCAATAATATAATTTCTTTTCTTTTATCCATTTTGTATGTAATCATTTGCTTAACGATCTTACTCTTTTTATAAAGGAAATCAACAGCTCTCTTATTCTTCAAATTGAAGATATTGTTAAGTAAGTCGAAACTAAAGTAAACGAGAAATTATCATTATCCATCGTGTCCTGTCAACGGAATTAGTATTTTACTTCTTTTTACATTGCACAGGTATGCTTTCTATGAATTTTTGATGACCTATTTTTTCTCTGAATTTATCAATGCTGAGTACACTGAAAATTTTTTGACACTTTGTTGATGATCTAAAGGCAACAGTGAGAAAGAATATTAGAATATCACTATTGAAAGTAGTTCTGATGTTGTCATATGACAAAGAATGAAATCAATTCCATACTACATATACGAGCAAAATGAAGTAAGAAGATATGGTGTTGACAATTCTTTTTATATTAGAGGCATTAGATTAACAATGAACAAAGAAGATCTAATACATATAATGAGGGACTTCGAAACCTAATCACAGAAGACTAAGAAAAAATAGATAATGACTGATTTACTCATAACAACTTGTCACTCAACTAACACAAATCACCATGCCTATTATTATAGTTGTTATTATTATTAAAAATTCGCTCAATTTTGCCGTGCTTACTAAATCTGTTCGATATTATCAAGCTTGTTCTCGTTATTTTCTGACTCTTGCTCGTAACAATCTTTTCTTCACAAATATTATTCTTTTGTAAAGTCAAAATTTGTAAAAACAAAAACGTTTCAGGAAGAACTAAGTATAAGAAACATATCGCAGTCTGCACAACTCATTCTCTTCTTCAAAGCTAAAATCTGCTAGCAATCCAAGTGTGGGTGTGGGTGGATGTGAGTGTGAGTTTTCATGTGCTCTGCTGCTACACCCACACCCACCCACACCCACACCCGTGTTGCAACTAATATTTGACTTTTCTAATGATCTTTTAATATTTCTTCGTTTTTGTGGTTTTTGGAATAATTAAATTTGTTCATTTAATTCATTTTAATCAACGTTTATTATTGTTTATTGAAACACTTCAATATGCTGGCAAAGAACTTCTTTCATTTTCGATGATGTTTTCAATTGTATTTATGTCTTATCTTTACTTATTATATTTATTATTTGTATCAAGTATTTCATCTTGCTCATCTGTATTAGGAACTGCTCAAATGTTGTTTGAAATGGCATTAATGAAATTTGATGCGAGTCAAATAATTGATTATCATCATATTTTATGTAACCATGTTGTGTCCAATAAAATAAAATGATTGAACAAACACTTCTCAGTAAAAAAATTTCATCCTCAAAGGGTTATTCGATCAAAAAATGAGGAAACATTTTATCTGGAAGCTTTTGGTCCATCCGTTACTTTTATGTTAACTTAGTCAATGACAAAAGTTTGTCCGATCAATTTTCCATTTTTTCGAATTTTTGGTTAATTAATGCTAAAAATAGTTTCTCCAGTGAAAAATCAAGTACTTCTTTTCTACAAATGCTAAATGATCACAGTTTGATTCACAAAACTATTATAGATTTTTTTCAATCGTTGGTGTTGTTTTATTGCTATAGAATAATTCGGAAACAAACATTTACTTGCTTCTAGTATTTTATGGTTTCGTCGATAATAAAACTGAATTTTGAAAATCACAGTTTTATTAGTAACAGATTTTTTCTATTATTTACAAAAAGCATAACTTTTAGCTTTTACACAGGCCAAGTTCTCGATTTCGAAAAGGTTGATCGTATCACTACAATTGAATGTATCATATTTCTTCTATGTACATATCTATATGTCAGCAATTCATTTAGAAAAGACTTTTTTTCTTGAAAAAAATCATGTACCATGAAACAAGTTTTCAGAAGGAAAAATGCAAAAACATTCTAGGATCAATAATAGGAGAAAAACAACAAGCAAAGTATAGTGCTTCTGACAAAATATTGATAATTTTTGATTAGAATATTGCATGGATCTACTAAATACTATTTGTTATACGAAATTAATGATATAAACTAAACAATAAATTAGTGTAGAAAATATGGATGTAATAAATATAAAGCAGTAAGTTGTCCATTAGTTTATGAACATCTCCTGCCTTTCTGGCTGAAAAATGTTTTTCGGTTAACAGTTTTTCAGTGCCAAAAATATACTTTGGAATTTTCTCTATCGATTTGCACAAAAACAAAACTTTTTTGACGACATTTTGAGCTCGAAAAAATCAATTTTTGAGATCTACTATCTCAATAAATTTTTTTCGATTCTTTTTCCAAAAATTTTATTCACTTTTGCATTTGAACTGGTCCAAATTAACATATCTTTAATCGATAATTTGTCCTAAATAATTCTGTACATGTGTATTAGATGTGCTATGAACGATAACCTAAAAGAAGACTATACCTCAAAAAAGCAAAATTCAACTTTATTTCGAGTTTTTCTCGAAATCAATTTTGAACAAAAAATTCAGCGTTTTCTTTTTTTGCTCTACTAGTCAAGCTTTTTTAATTAGATTGATGAGATTAATTGAGTACGGTTTGTTGCAACTGATGATAGTTACTTGCAATATGTCCTACTGTTGATTACACCGCCTAATAGATTGTTTCTTTTTCGTCTTTTATTAGTAATGTGCACCAGTTTACCTGACTGTGCATTAGCTTTTTACCTTTACACGTTTTTTTTTCATGTGATCATTTTTATAGTTCGTTTTTTTCCCTCGTATTGTAATTTATTTTCAATTGTTTGTCATAGTAGATGTACTGATAGACTGTAAGACATCAAAAAAAAAATTCTACTTTTATTCTCATTTCATTTTGTGGTGTGACAAAACAAAAGAAGACGCAAAAGAGATAATAGAACGAATACAAAAAACTGAAAATCAGCGATGTAATTAGCGTTATGATACATATCAAGTATGAAGACAAAACAAAATAAATGAGTATTAAATATAGATTGTATCACAATGAGTGTTATTCAATCAGATATGCCATTTCTTAATTAAATCTTCAAAAACAAACAATGTATTAGATTCAAGAAAATTTTTAATACATCTTTCATTCAAACTATAAAAGTATTTTTATCGAGAAGAGGCAACAACCTTATTGTTTTCGTATCTCAAATAGCATAATGCTATGAAAGGTTTTCTATCAAAGATCGGCTTCATCATAATCAATGATCACCTTAATGAAGAATCTGTTCAAATAATTTAAGACAAGTTTTTCAATTGGAAAAAGAAATCAAAGCGAAATGTTAGCTTTACTGTTACAAAAAAGTGAGATATATTAGCAAAATGCCGTGAATTAATTCGACTGTGATACAAAGTAGAGAGTCTAATACGAAGTATTTGAAAAAGTTTTGCGAACATCAAGAAATGTAAATATAAAAATAATAAATAAAGTCTATTTTTCTAACTCATTTTTCAGCGAGTCTACAAATTGCTTGACACATTCGAAATCGATAATAGTAGCCGTTACTTCAGGTCTTTTTTCTTTAATTAATTTTAATGCATCATCCGCTGACATTTTTTCATTAGCAACCAGATGACATAATACAATAGTAGCACTTCTTCCCATACCAGCTTTACAATGGACAAAGATCTTTTCATTATTTGTATAAGCTTCATTCATAAATTTAATTGCTTTTTCTATTGATTGTAATGATGGCAATGTACAATCTATAGTAGGTAAACGTAATTGTTTTATACTATATTTTGCATATGCTTTACGTGGACCTAAATATTCAGCACACATATTAACAACATATTTAATTCCTATCTTATTTAATGTTTCCACATCAACTGCAGTAGGTAAACAACCTAAATAACAATATGGTGTTATTTGACTATATAATGAATTTAATGGGTGATTTAATAATTTAAAAACAATTACTAATAAATATGCTGGTATATCATATAATAAATGGATAATATAACGTCTTTTATCATTTAATTTCATAGGATGTGCACTTCGAGCAAAACCAGCAAATATTAATACATATGGAAAGAAGTATTGAATTTTTTCTATTGGTATATGACGATATCCTAATAATCTAGCAATACTTTGAATAATAATCCTTATTATAAATATATCCCATAAACTAATAATTAATATATATAATAATAATCGACATAAACCATAATATGAACGTGTCTTTCTTGTATACGATGTATACCATTGATAAATAGCTATTGATATGATCGGAAGATAACTAGCATAGGGATTATGAATGAAATATGTGATCAAAATACTCAATAATAGGCAAGATAGAGCAACAAGCAAATTTCTGGAACGATTTAGAGCTTGGTATACACGAAGTATTCTACGATGTTTACGGCGAATTGCCTTCTTTTTTTCAGACAACTTTTGTTCAATTGTCGATCCATTTATTTGTTTTTCTGAAGAGTTTTCAGTCATGTCTTAATCTAAAAAAATATTGTAACATAGTTCATAATTCAACATTAAATTTTGTTTTATTTAACAATACATTTATAAATAGAAGTGAAAAGCAACAACACTTACTTTTTTCGTTCTATCAATAATGCACGTTCTTCAACGACGAGAATCGTATATGTATCTATTATTGAATACAACAGAACGAAAGAAAAGAAATATACCAATTTTCTGTTCTATGGACAACGTACATTTTGTGATAGAATGAAAAAAGTAATTAATGTGAATGAGTGCTTTTTTTTCCTTCTTAATGTTTTCTCATCTAGACAATATTATTAGAGAAAGAGTATCTTCGTAATATGACTCACTTAACCCTTTGGGGACGGGAGACGTATATATACGTCCAGTTTCGAATCAACTCCTAATTGATTTGCGCATACCTCTTATTATGCTGTTATGATCTACGCTAACACATAGACCATCAATCTGTTTCACTGCCATCTGTACTGTGACCCCATTGATCTTTTTTCGTTCTGCGCTTACACCCCTCACTTCTGTTCTCTTTCCTTACGTCATCTTTTACTGATTTCACGTACGATTTATTTTTTCACTTATCTTCGCATACATTCTCTCTTCCATCTCCATATAGATTCTTTTTTTTTCGTAGTAAATTCTCATTCTGTCGATTTTACGTACAAGTATATATAGATATATATATCTACTCACACTCATTCTTGCTGTAATCCTTTCTTTATCCAGTGATAGTGTGTTACAACTTCTAATAAAGAACGTAACGATATTTGTAACAAATACTTCACGTGCTTTTGTCTCTTTTGTGGATCAAAATGGCAACAGCCAGAAAACATAGCAACAATGAAATTAACGAAGTTTCCAGTGATAATGAATCAGAAAGTGAATCAGAGATAGAAATGGACGATGAAAGTGGAGCTGAAGACGACTCTACATACTCTGCTGCAGAGTATGTCGCGGAGGTTTCGGATGATGAAAATGCTTCTTCAGGTCGCACTTTCAATCACACATCAAGATCATGGCAAGAGGGTAACTTTAGGCCAACATTATTTCCGTTTCAAGGCAACCCATGTCCTGAAAATCGCTGAAAAATTGACGATGAATCGCGATTTATCGAAACGATAATTGTAAGCTAAATAGCGATTAACCGCTGATATTTAATGATATGTTTAGGGATTACTACGATAAATCGCGATTTGTTTTCCGATTTTTTACATATTAACAATATCTTTATCGTTAATCTGATCTGACATTATCACAATTTCAAAGAAATTTTATTTATTTCGGGGTGTGGGTGTGGGTGCGAGTGGGTGTGGGTGTTGGTGTAGGTGTGGGTGTGGATGTGGGTGTGGACATGGGCGTGGGTGTGGACATGGGCGTGGGTGCTTGTGGATGTCTCTTCAACCATCTATACATCCGTATCCACACCCCACACCCACCCCCACACCAACACCCACACCCCACCCACACCCACCCCCACACCACCCACACCCACACCCACACCCACACACCCACACCCACGTCTCTTTTTCTTTTTTTCTGAGTTGAGTGAGAGAGGGAAGGGGTTACGTTAGTTAAGGGTTAGGGTCTTCTATGAAGGACTTTCGAGCAGTCCCTAAAAGCCCGGCCAGGAACTGTTTTGGTGTCCATGGCAGCACGATCGGACCCCAAGCTCACTGACGTATATTACCGTGTGGGTACATGTGAATGATGTGAGTCTTCCAGGGAGTGCGCGAAACAATTGAATAGATTTCAATGCAATTTTTCATTCAATTACAATTTATTTGAAAGAGACGAAAAAGAACGAAACAAAAAATCATACGAATTGAGTTTATTCGATGTTAAATTTTTGTACTCGATAATTGTCCTTATCGACGACATAGAGATTGCCACGTCGATCGAATGATAAATCTACGGGAAATTTAAGTTGATTTGACCGTTCACCTCTCCCATTTCCACCAATAATAATACTTCCTTGCGTGGCTCCTTTTAGCCAACGTATGATTTGATGATTGTAATGATCAGCCACAAAGACAGTGCCCAATTGATCGACAACGACTCCATTAGGCCAATTCAATTGTGTAAGACTATTTCCCTTTCCTTGACCACCGGCTACGACAACGCCTTGTTTTGCACCTTCTTCCCATTTCATTACACGATCATTTTCCCCGTCAGACACATAAACTGAATGATCTTGGTCGACAAATACGTAGCGGGGACCAGAGAGTTGATCGAGACGAGTTCCGTTTCCATTACCACCAGCAACTACTATGCCTTGAGTGTCACCAATTTTATATCGTCTTACTTCATGTTTTCCACCGTCAACGACATAGAGATAACCATTGTCGTCTATTGTCAAACCCATGCAAGAAATATTTGAAATAATTGTTTCTCCTCGAGTACCATTTCGACGAGGCCATCGAACTACCCTTTTATTCTCACGGTCAGAGATGATGAAACTATCGCTCTTTTCGTCAATAATCACATCTACTGGGCAATTTAATTGATGATCTCCGTTCCCCTGACCATTTCCACCAGCAACTACTGTGCCATTCGTTGCACCAGATTTCCATTCCACAATACGGTGATTATATCCATCAGCGACATATATTGTTTGATCATCGTCGATGTACATACCCCATGACAAATGGAGTTGATTGGTTCCACTGCCATTTCCATTTCCTCCAGCAACAGTGATACCATTCTTTGACCATGTTGCATTCGGATGAATATCAACCATACTTGCACGTGGTGACACTGGAATGAAACAAAAGTATGGAGTAGAAATAAACATTGATGTTAATGAAAATGACCTCTTTATTGTGCTAACAATTCACGAAATATTTATTTTCTAATCGAATATATGACTTTTTCTATGAGTATGTATAAAAAGATGTTTTCTAACTACTATTTTAAGAGATAACCCTAGGATCTCAGAATTGGCAATTCTAGCAGTTCAAGCAATTCTAGTTATATACATCCTATAAGCACTAATGGATCTGATCTATGCTAGAATTATAAAAATTCGAGCAAATCATGAAAATGAAGCAATTTAAGAAACTGAAGGCAATTCAATGATGTCAATGTATAGACAAACAATAGAGAATAAGGAGTCTCATCCATCATGGAATTATGGGAAATCAAGGCATTCAAGAAATTCATGACGATTCAAGGAACTCAAGCTATAGACGGTCAGTGAAGAAGAAGGGGTCTCATGCATCAAGGAATCATGAAAATTCAAGGAAATTCGGGAAAATCAAACAAGTTAAGAAACTTAAGCCAAATTCAAGGGATATACAGAGATTGTTCGCGTGAGTACAAGGGATGAGTGTGGGAAGCGAATGTAGCAAGACACCCACAACTATGCCCATAGTCATCCACACGCACATCCTCTGTATATCCCTTGAATTGTTTTCAGTTTCATGAATTGCTTGATTTTCCAGAACTTCCTTGAATCTTCATAATTCCATGGTTGATTAGACTCGTTACATCTCATTGTCTGTATATTTCTGGAGTACATTGAGCTGTCATCCATTTCCTGAAATGCTTGATTTTCCAGAGTTTCCTTGGATTTCCATAATCACATAGTAGAGTAGACCCTTATCGTTCATTGTCTGTCCATCGCTTCAGTTCCTTGAATTGCCCTAAGTTTCTTGAATTGCTTGATTTTCTAGAATATCCTCGAATTTCCTGACTTCCTGGAATTCCTTGTTCCACCCAAGATATGTAACTTAAAGTCAACTGTTGATGTGAGTTTCTCAAATTTCCTTGAATTTCCAATTCTTGGATCCTAGATACTGCTCTCCACACCCTAATAGTACAAACTCAACTATGTATGGTAAATGTATAGTTCATAAACATTTATACACACTGAAAATATAGCACTGCATGTGATTTACACTTCCTTGACAATGATAACGGCAACAAACGGTCCTTTTATAGAGAAATTTCGGCATTTTGCGATTATTCATAAATAGAGACGTGGGTAGATACTTTTATGTATTGTCCATATATTTGAGGAAGAAAAGGACAAATTTGAAAGCATACATACCTTGTTTCGTTATTTTGAAGAGTCTTGTGCCAAGAACATCAATTCGAACATTTATACTGTTCAATGTAGTACTGATATTTTCTTTGTTCATGTCAGTTAGCTTTGTGCTGATATTATTAATTTGAGCATTAATTCTGCTGGATATAGCGATGATCTCCTGCTTCATCCTTGCGGTGATATTATTGTAGAGATCATTAGCTTGTACATTCATGTGCCTCGATGAAGCACTGATCTCTTGCTTCATCAGATTGGTTAAATTCTCAGAAATATTATTAGTTTGTACACTTATCTTGCTGAATATAGTATTCATTTCTTGCTTCCAGTTTGCAACCATCTCTTTAGTCTTATTTTCTTCTATGGAAATTTTGTTTTGTACATTTTTTATTTCATTTTGTAGTTGCAGATCTGTAACTTCTGCCTAAATTTTTCAGATCAAATTACCGCATGCAACATGTTTGATGTCTTTAAAGCTCATTCATACTTACAGAACTGCTCATATTCAATAGAATAGCTTCGATGTGATCAACTCGATCCATCAACCATAATTTTGATTTGCTAATATTGCCACTGGGCTTACAACGAAGTGGTAAAGCATGCACATTCGATCGCATTCGAACAAGAACCGTATTGGAGAAGAGCTTTGTTTTTGTATTTAATTTTCCAATTTTGACCAGAAAAGCGTTAATAGGACGAGGTTTGATAATATCACCTTCGAGCTCAACATTATTGAACAATGTTTTAAGAATCTTTTCCACACCGTTTCGACTCGTTATGTACTGTTTGTTTGTGTTTTTGTCAATTTTAGTTGCATTAAGATTATTCGTGTTATATCCCATGTCATTGAAAGTGTTATTATTTATTCTAGTATTGGTAAACTGTTTCTTATCAGTCAGTGTCACGTTCAAATGATTTTTTCCAATATCTTGCATGATCACATCGTGCTTTCCTGTTTCTTTGGCATCCAAAATATCAGTATCGGAAACTTTTCCATGCTGTTGTTGATTGATATCGACTTGATTATTAGTAATTGCTAATTGTGTCTGTGATGAACCGCCACCACTACCGCCGATCGAAAACAAACCTCGGTAGCCTAATGTGCCACCACCACCACCGCCAGAACTATGAGCAGTTGAATATGAAATGGATCGACTATGTGTGTCGAATAGTTTGTCGAATTGTTCAAGATGTTTTTTGTCATGGTGTGTCAAATGAACTCTATCGTTGTTTTCGTTGAACGACTTGAAATTATCATCATCGTGGTGATGCAGTTTGGCTCGATCGATGTCTTCTCGTGTGTGGTCACCGGCGACAATTTCATATCCTGTCACATCAGTTCGAAGGATATCATGTTCGGTCAAATCCATTCTCATTGCATCTTTTGCAGCTTGACGATCGTAGATAAAACGTTCACTATCCTGCCTCTCTTTGCGAAGGATTGAATTAAGAACTTTGGCAAGGCGATCTGGTCGTGTCAATTCTGAAGTCCAATAGAGATCTTCCCACAGTTTTTTATCGGTTTCTTCCAGTCGCGCCTAACATTACAAACAAGACAGGTTGATCATTGTTTTTTAACTAATAGATTTCACAAGTAAATATTTTATGGGAATGAAATTGTTGCTTTTCTCTTTTAAATTCTACCTTGAATGCGTACAAATTCAAGTGAAAATTTCTCTCTAAAAGTTTTCCGAATATTACTGGGTTAAAACTATCTATCAACATGGAGGAAAAGAGGATGGTCATATATTGCGCAAAACTGAAAAATCGTAACTTGTAATATGCAATATACTCAGGGCGAGCAATCGGACCCTAAGGTTGGACAAGATTCTGCATCTGATTATGTATGATCTTGTAAGATTCGGTAAGAATCGTACAAAAAAATCGCGGTCTCAGAAATCTTGCATCAATTCTTATTGTAAGATTCTTGACAGATCTTGTTGTCTTGCCAACTCTTTCTGTAAGATTATAGAAAATCTCATGCGACGATAGGATCTGACAAGGATCTTACAGTAAGAATTGATGTAAGATTTCAAAGACCACGATTTTTTGTAGGATTTCATATGATCCTATACGACTTACCGTCAGACTTTTTGACCTGGGTATTTTAGTACGTTTAACTATCACATACCTGTTGATTAGATAGCTGATGTTGAAGAAGTTTATCAATCGCTATTGGATCTGCGAGATGTTCGAATCCTTCTTCTAGGCGCAGTGTCATAGTGATATGATCTGTAGCTTCGCTGAGAAGTTTTTTGAAATCGTTTCCAGTGAGAACTACCGTTTCAGCCGTGGGAAATTGAGCACGAATTTGATTGTACATATTAGTACTTGTTACATGTTCCGTGTTTACTTCCAACTGTCGTTGTGCTGAATGCTGACCATGGAGTGAATATTGAAGCTCAAAGTTTGGTAGCTGACAGTTCTCTGTGAGAGCCTTTCGTAATTGTTCACAAACAGTTATGTTCGATGTATACATAATAAATTTCATTGATTGAAGAAGAAGAGTAGCCGAATACCAACTTTCTACAAGTGTATACTTTTGATCTGTGTTATTTGGACGTGTATCTTTTTGAACAAGTCGAATCGAATGCATTGGTAAAAGAGAAACATCGCACATAGGTAAAGACGTTGTATTCCCACACAAAGATGACTGATACTTGTAAACATAGTCTTTGACGGCTCGAATAAGTTGTGGTGTATAAAGTTCGACTTGAAGACCGAGTTCTACACGATCACTAAACACATTTTCGTAACATTGTGTTTCCTCAGGCCGAAGATATGGAAATGGGGTGAAGAAAAAATCAGTTTGCTTCTGTTGATTTTGTTTAATCACCACTTCACCATCTTGATACTTGATTCGACCTATATTTTTCGTTCCCATTTCCACCTGAAAAATACCGCCATCGTTTGCTAAGTTAGATCCTTGTTGCTCAGCGACAGTTTTATATATAAGTAATAAAAATATCCACCCAATATGCATTCTAAAATAACTAATGAAATACAGATTAAATTTATTACTATGCATCACACTGCTTGCTATTTAGGTATTCTGTATAAGATGCATGTAACGCAAAGTTATAGTACTTCGTTTTCTTGGCTGAATTTTATGTCTAGAGAGTGAGTGTGGGCGAAGGTGTGGGGGTATAAGGTGCAGCGTGCGGGTGTGGCTGTGTTTAGGGTGTGAGCGTGCGAACAAGGTTTCGGAAACAATAAAACATATGAAACAACCTTTCTATGCTTATTATATTTGTATTTTATGTCATTAAAAGATACTAATGAAGATAGCTGCTTGTTGATAAAGTTGTTTCTCTGTTTTTGAACAATTTTTAATTCAAAATTTTTCAAACGCTATTGTGTTGTGAGGTTATTGGTTGTTATTACAAAAAAGTTTTATTTTTGATATTTTGAAATAATTGTTGTCAGATAATTCCGTTGAAAGAACTGAATGCATTGTTCTACTTTCGTTTTTGCTAGTTCATTTTTTCTAATGAAACCTCTATTATTTTTGATACATCATCATTGCAACATTTCAATCGCTTTTGATGAGATAAATAACGTCGTTAGAGAATATTGATGATGACATCGCATTAAATCTAAGACAGTTTTTAATATCTTTTAAAATGCAATATATTCAGTCGAGTCCATCAACAGATTTATTGAACTTCCACCAAGGGGGAAATAGCGAGACTTCATCTACTTCCGAAGTATTTTGAAGTACGGCAGAAGTATGAAGAAGTATCATGGAA